TATATGTGTGTGTGTGTGTGTGTGTGTGTGTGTGTGTGTGTGTGTGTGTGTGTGTGTGTATCTCTTAGAATACAAGAACTCGTTCACCTGTAACATCTTTGAGTTAAAGTCACATTATTTAGACAGATGAGAATTGTCCTTCTCATTACCAAAACATGTATCTTTGCATGTATATTTATAAAATAGTTATTTTAAAATTAAATATAATTAACAAAAAAAAAAAAGTTGAACTTGATTGAAATGGTCCAAATGTGATATAGATGGTAAAATCCTAGTTGCAATATTGTAATGAAGTCAACGTTATAGCTTCAAGAACTGTTCAAATTAATTTATACAAGTTTATTGAATATGCTAATTAATTAACAACTCACAATGATAAAAATATATTCACTATATTATTATTTTACGCGTCAAAAATAATATCTTTAATTTTTGGGGTAAATTACAAACACCCCAGAGGTATGGTCAATTTATGGAAAAACCCCTCTTGTTTGGATAATTACATCTATCCCCCTCAACTATAATTTTTTCTTACACCTCCACCCTTATGGTGTCAAATTAAACATAATCATCTAGATATCGTGGAATGTATTCTAGTTTGTACTCGTTTTGTGTAAAAACACAGTTTCTGATGCACCACAATCTGATATATACAAACTAAAAAACACATATTATGATCATTTTGCTTCAAAATGTAGAGTTCGAATGGGATAAAACGTGTACAAAAGTGATAATATTCCATATAATCTCGAAGATTTCACTAAATTTGAGGAGTTGAGGGGGTTGTTGTAATTATCCAAACAAGAGGGGGGTTTCTGTAATTTGACCATACCTCAGGGGTTGGTTGTAATTTACCCTTAATTTTTGTTATTTTATTCCTATAAAGAAATTGTCTTTTGAAGTAAGCATCTCAATCATGCAACTACTAAACAAATCTTTAAATTATTAATTCATGGAATATTAATTTAATTTCTTCAGTAATTCAAAAAATAAAATGAAAATAGAGAGAGACAAAAGCAACTCAAAAGAAATCTTCAAATAAAACCCATTCAAATTAACAAAACTAAACTCTCTCTCTTCTCTCTCTCTCTACACCAATTCTTGAATTCCTGTGAAGCTACTCCACCCCTTACATAAATAGAAGAAAAACTAACTACACAGACTGCAAACAAAAACATACGCATACATACACAAACAAGTTTCAAGAAAATGATGGGTAGCGGCGATGTGGAGAGAGGGAAATCGGCAAAGAACAGAAACAACCAGGGCTACTACGCGGCAACAGGTGGCACGTACGGCGAAGAGTATTCCGACAGCCAGTGGACTTCTTGGCTTGTGCCCATGATTGTTGTCGCGAATGTCCTCATGTTTGTTTTGATCATGTTCGTCAACGATTGTCCCAAGAATATTAATAATTATAATAGTATGCTTCGAGGTGGTAATAATGGTGGTTGTGTGGCTAAGTTTCTTGGGAGGTTCTCTTTTCAGCCGGTTAGAGAAAACCCTCTGTTCGGCCCTTCTTCTTCTGCGTACGGTTTCCCCATTCTTTTATCTGTGTTTTTCGTTAGTTTGATGATTTTTCAGAACGTCCGCATTCTGTTTGATGATATGTCTGAGTGAGGTTTGTTTGTTTGATTTGTAGAGTCTTTATTATTTTTGCTAGTTTATGTGTTTGGATGATCATGGTTTGTGAACATGCTCCGTTGACTTTTTGCCTGTTGACTTTTGATTTGATTGAGATTCTTGGGTTTTTCTGAGAATTTGCCGCATTCGTTGCGTGGGGAAGTTCTGAATTTCGTGTTTTCTGTTTTTCTTTTTTTCCATGCGAAAATTTTGGATTTACGAGATTGTAACGATTTTTGGCTTCCTTGTTCATTCTAATTTGTTGGACTTGGTTCATTTTCTTGATGCCATAATGAAACTAAAGATTTTTATAATATTTCTATTAGAAGAAATAAATAAAATTAACGAGCCTTACGTATGCTTTTTGCAGATTGGAAAAACTAGGAGCACTCCAATGGAACAAAATCGTGCACAAACACCAAGCATGGAGGCTCGTATCTTGTATCTGGCTGCACGCTGGTGTTATTCACTTACTTGCAAACATGATAAGCTTGGTGTTTATCGGAGTTCGTCTCGAGCAACAATTTGGATTCGGTAAACAATAATCTCGATCTATAAATATAAGGGATGTTTACATAACAAATTCAGCATTTGTAACACTATAAAAAGTATTCAATTCTGCACCGACAGCTATTTTCAAGAATTTAATCTATAGTGCTTATCGTTCATGTACTTAATTGAAGTTTCGTTTTGTTGTATTAATTCTCACATTTTTTTGTTTTTTGTCGAATTGTGCTATTTGCAGTACGAGTCGGGGTTATTTACTTATTGTCGGGAATCGGTGGAAGCGTACTATCTGCCCTATTTATTCAGAGTAGTATCTCTGTTGGAGCTTCTGGTGCTCTCTTTGGACTTCTTGGAGCAATGTTAGCCGAGTTATTTACCAACTGGACAATTTATACAAATAAGGTAAATGCTGCATATAGTGTTCGATTCTTGTTTCAAATAATCATTAATTGTTTTTTTTTTCAAATATAAACACCTCACGTCTCGTTTGGTTGGTGAGATTAGACATGACTAATTAAATAATTGGAACTTATTGGATGTTTTGGGGTGGAAAGTGAAATGAAATTTCCAATTTCCGCCAATTCCGATCCAAATTTTTCCGATTCTGGAACAAAATTTTCATTCCGAATTCAAAAGTTCCGACTCCAATTTTTTTGGATCGGAATTGGAATATATTTGAGATTCCAATTTCCGATCCGATTTTAATTTCCAAAAATAATTCCTAAAATTCCGATTTTTTTGGATCGGGATCGGAATATATATATATGAGATTCCAATTTCCATCCGATTTTAATTTCCAAAAATAATTCCAAAATTCCATTTTTTTTCCTCGAAAATTGCACTTCTAATATCAATATATTATTGTTCATTTTATATTTTAGGTGACTTAAAAATTAGAATTTCCATATTCTGCCGATTGAGATTCGAAAATTTCCGATTTTGGAAGAAGTTTTTTCATTCCAATTTTTTTTTTGAACATAATTGGATTTAGTTTTTCACTTCCGAAAAAACATCGGAATTTTTCCGTAAGTAGTAAATTCCACTTCGAACTGTCCTTTTTCCACCCCTAGGATGTTTTGTTAGTAAAATAACTTTCCGGGCCGGTCTGCTATTGGGGAAAAGTTATTCCAATCTTGATTAATTGGGATGTTTTTCTTTGGACCGTTGGATTTTCATAAGATTATTTAATCTTAGGACCAAACAAAGCCATACTATAAGATTTCTGCGGGATACTATTTACGTACTAGCTATATAAACATAAGAGTCTCATTTTGTTTTGTTTTCATTTTCGAGAAATTCAAAATACGTTTTCTTTTTTCTCAACTCATTATGACTATTTTTCGTGTTCTTGTTTAGGTGGCAGCTCTGTTTACTCTAATTGTGATAATTGCAATTAACTTGGCCGTTGGAATTCTTCCACACGTAGACAACTTCGCACACATTGGAGGTTTCGTAAGTGGGTTTTTACTCGGCTTCGCATTACTAATCCGACCCCAGTACGGTTGGTCGGGAAGCCAAAATCGCCCATCCGATACTCGACTCAAGTCCAAGTACATGGCCCACCAACTCATTTTATGGATTACCGCAACTATTTTGTTTATCGCTGGGTAAGCTTATCTCGTATATCTCTTATGAAGTTACTATATATGTTTCGTTAATGTCGAAAACTAAAATTTATTTCGTGTTTTTTACAATTTGTAGATTAACGGTGGGATTGGTGATGCTGTTTAAGGGAGAAAATGGGAATGATAAATGTGGGTGGTGCCACTATATCAGCTGTGTGCCTACATCAAGATGGAGCTGTGATAACTAACAATTGAGTGTGCTTCCATTTGTTCTATTTTTTTATTTTTTTTTGTTTTTTTTTTTACAGAAGTATTGTTGTTTATATTAAATATGTATAGCCATTCATATGTTTTTCTTGTTTATATCCTATGTTGATAAAGGCTCTGCAGATCTTGTTTGTATTGAACATATTTCCGATATAATGCCGATAAATTTGTATTGAACATATTTCAGATCTTGTTCGGAATCGGCAGAATTTAGAATATTCGTTCCAATTTACACCTCTAGTATAGTATAATGGGGACTCTTTGGTTTTTTATCTTCCAATTTAAAATATTTCAGATCTTCTTTCCTCGTCAAAATTACTCGAGGGTTTTTTTTCAGGGCTGGAAGAACCTGTGACCATTATTTGGGATATTAATATTAAATGATATATTATACTAACAGCTTAAGTTTTTTTTTTGAATGAAATACATAATATTTATAAAATTGAGACCACTAAAGCTAGGTATAATTTTTCTCTATGGGAAATTGCAATTCAGTCCCAAAATGTAATATTTGATTAAACTTTGGAAAATTGCAATTTATCCTCTTTAAGTTTCTGCAATTTTTCAGAAATTCAATTTGGTCCCTTCTATTTAACGGGGGCAACTTTCTTGTTTGCAAAAACCTCCACGAGGTATTTCAGTCTTTTGCACAACAGGTCAACGAGAAAAAGATAAATGAATCGAATGTACACTTTATAAATAAGTACACGGGGTTATTTAATAGTTTTTTTATTTATTTATCACGAGGGAGAAACACATTTGCAACTTTCACAATGATAGTAAATACAATAAACTCCAAACACTTAAAATAAATGTACTTAAGCAACACCAACACATTGAAACGAGTACACAAATCAAAACATAAGAGAATTAAAGAAAGATAAAACAAACCAAAAAAATATATATATATATATAACAACAACAACAACAACAACAACAACAACAACAAGATTATTCCGCAAGAAGTGTCGAACTTGTTGCTGCAGCACTCCTCCCCCGAGACATCTTCCTCGTCTTTTTAACCATCTTCACTATCAAACGAACTGTATGGCCAACGAGGACGAGAGCCATCAAGCCGAGCCACACTAGGACAACAAGTCCTAGCACACTAATAAACGTTTTGCTTATTACGGGTGTCAACACTGTTATGGAGACAAGATAAATGAGTGCAATAGCTGTGATCGCAACCCACGTGATCACCATCAGAATCCACATAAAGAATTTGCGCCTTATCGGCAATCCACTCATCAGGAGCAATATAATGCTCAGCGACGCAATGAAGCCTATTGTGTTGATCATATAGAATCTCGAGTACCCCTCCGGGTAGTTACTTGCGAACACAGAAAACCCCGCCACATGAGGATACTGCTCGAGGTTTCCTTCAGAGTCGACTAGCTTATCGTCTTGCCAGACGCCGCCTGGGGGGTTGACTCCAACTTGAAAAGCCATTGTTGCTATTAGTGAAGCCACAATCATTAATGAGTCTTTCTTCCTCTCCAGCCATTCGGATTGCTGCTTGAGCATCCCGTTCCAGGTGTTGTCTTTCTTCCGCATTTTTGTCGACAATGAATTGGATGAATAAAGAGTACTGTAGTTCATATGTCGTAGTGGCGGCGCATTTCTCTCTAGGTGTCCGATCCCTCCGCCTTTTTTAAGCGACTCTTCGATTTCCACGTCTCGGACATCCCGTCGGCTTTGAATCAAAACGTCCACCGCTGTCTCCCCGTCGAGGTTCAGCGCATTCACTTCAAATGCAGGCACACTCAACAAGAAGTTGATCGTCTGTTTTAAAGAAAGATCGTTTACAACATATTAATTTAAACGAGCTTATTAATTTATCGATGTTCTAATATATATATATATATATATATATATATATATATATATATATATATATATATATATATATATATATATATATATATATA